AGGAATGCTAGACTGGTTTCACTTCTAGATATTGCATCTTACATGCAAGCTGGGCTCTCAGTCAAAGAGCAAAGACTGTTCTGCTGCTGGCTGTGCCTTTGTCTCAGCCTCCACTGCCCCACTTTGCCATTTCTGAAGGTTTTAGAAGGAAGAAAAACAGACAAGGGCTGATTATAAAATAAATATACCACAGGTCTGGCATACCAGAAAGATTTATCCTCTTCCCTAAACACAGCCCACAAGGCTGGTAAGTCTATAGTTCCTTTCTGCCTGTATCCTAGAAATTTCTCAATAAAGGACACATTTATATGGTGCTTCTGAATAATCCAAACACCTTGGAGTGATTAATCAGGAGCTCATCATTATGCACTCCAAAGATAAATATTACAGATGCAAATGTATAAAAACATTAATCAGAAGTGGTGGAGGCAGGGGGTTAGGGTCAACAGCAAGTTCACCATAAAGTGGGAAGAAAGACACGGGTACAGAGAGGGAGGTAAAATATGAAAGGAACTCTCTGTTACCTAACAACGTTCCCAGAACAAGTCTGGGTAGTATGCCAGAGAATGAACTAAGGAGTAAGATTCATGCACTTCATGACAGCTTTTTTTTGTGGCGTCTGTGGACTTCCTTCCAGAGGCAAAAGGTTACCGGCAGGTTGCCAAAGCAAACTCAGTGTACCTAGACTAATCTCTGCACTAAGTCTCTTAGAACATAATCAATTCTCAATGATATGATTCTTAACAGTGACTAATAAAGAATAAGTGAAATGTGATTTGCTGACCAAAATTTTTCCTTATTTTCCTTTTCCACCATTCTTACAACCAGCCTGCCCTTTATACCAAAGCACTTAATCATTTCTCTGTTCCAGGAGTTGTGGAGAATGACAGGAAGGCAGCTTAGTCCTGAAGAACCTGCTGTTTACCTTCAGCTTGTGAGTAGGTGGGAAGGGCTCTGGCCCCAGGGCAAGATGGTGAAGCCAAACAACTTTCCTGAGTCAGTCTTTGCAGGGTGTACTTGTGTGCTCAATGTTTTATGAATGCTTAAGTTACAGATATTCCTACTAAATCAAAATATATAGATGCTTTCTTAAGTCAAATATAAAGATGGTATACCATTATTTTTCTCTTAACACTGAGGATTAAATTTTACTTTTCTTTTTTAAATATTCAAACAAAAGCTGCCACATATATAAAATTTCATTGTCAGAACAAAGGTCACCTTCTGTAGCCTTAGTGTCACACCTCCCTTGGATATCATTTTGCTCCATCTTGCTTTCTAACTCAGAGATGAGAAATGAGCTCAGTTCTGATTAAGAGGGAAATACCACACAATATTACCAGCACCTCTGGTTCTTCTTCACAAAAATAATCATATCTGGGCTTGCTTAGTTTGTAATATTTAACCTGTGACAGTGCTGAAGATACATAATCATTATATTGTGCACATTATGATTCTATGAGAGAAAGGAGAAAAAGGGGAAATGTTGAAAGGGAATACATGTGCATTAATAAAAGGTAGTAATTCATTTGCAGTGGATTACACAGATATAAGAATCTCATTAAAGAAGGTTTTAGTTACAGACTAGTATCCAATAGTTGACATCAGGACAAATGGAAAGAAAAGCAATTTCACATCATAAAGGAGGATGGTATGGTGACTACACTTCATTTCACAATGAAAACATTGAACAAGAAAATAGAAAAGAAACATACTGACAAGATCAGACATATTTTTAAATGTGCTGCATTTAATGCAATCCAAAGGCTACCAACAATTTAGATGCTGTGACAACATGCCACTGCCATTTGTGGGAACAGTTAAAGCATTTTGCACTGATTGCTCAGTGACCAAAAACAGGCAAACAAATAATGCAACAAAATGGCTAACGCATTCAGAGTAACACACAACAGAATTATCTTCCAACCACAGCATTCTTCCCAGATTTTGAAAGAATTATGGCATGTGGACTGGAAGGACACAAAGTGCTTACAGTATTAAATACTAGTATATTTACTTTGGCACAAAATTTGTGTTCCAACCAAATAAAATGAGATTTCTCCCAAAATACATATCCTTAGCAAGAAGATAAAAAATGAACATATTACAAAATCAATATGGCCACATGTGAATAAAAAATGTTACAGTTTTTTTCTTTAGGAACAAACATGAAGACAGAAGAACAACAATCATTTCCAAGTGCAGGATACTACAGGGAAAGAAAAGTGCAAAGGAAAACTACATTGATTAAACAGATCTTCTAAAAACAATTTTGGGAAAATTTGTTATTTAAGACAAAGAGTTGTCTTCAACTTCCTTCTGTTTAAAACAAATCCTTCATTTAAGAGGGTCTACAACTGGGGTGAGCCCTGCCGGGTAGATGAAAATGCATCAGCCTTCTCCATCCGCTAAGCTGGCCAGAAGTCAATGCAGGGAATAGTATAAGGCCAGTAGGACTGATCGCAGCTTTTATTGCCCCACTCTCAACTTCAAGGCTCTGCTCAGAAAAAGCCTGGGTGGGGTCTCTGCTCCAACATCAACCCTCACCATTTTAAACATGATTTTTTTTTTAAAGCCACCAAAAAAGCGGTCACAGAACATGTGTTTGGCTGGCTGGGTATGAGCTGAGTTTTCTCATAAGCAACTTTTCAGGCCAGTGGCACCTGAGGGGTTTAGACAGCATTATGGTGTGGCCCCAGTTAGCTTTCCAAAAGTATTCTAAATTAAATATGATACTGTCTTTGAAAGACAAACAGTGAATTAAGTAATCTGGTACAAAGGACTTCTCATATAGGTCAACTAACTGGTAGAGAAAAACTTTTAATGTAATTTTGTATATTTATGTTTTTGAGACCAAACCTTACTGATGAATTCTCTATATATGGATCATGATACACAGCTAGAAATCACCAGAGATGCTCCCAGTATCAACTCTGTGACAGGTAATGCTTCCCTTCAGTTCTAACTAGCATGAATATCTGATTTGCTTTTGGCTTGAAGTCCAACCATAATTGGGCTCATAATGTCTTTTCGCTTTACCTCTTTCTGTACATCCTTTGCTTGGTTTTCAGCCTTACTGAGAAGAGTTTTTAAATCAGCTGAATCCCGAAGATGCTGTTCTTTCAAGGATCCCACTTGATTCTCAAGCTCTTTCCTAGTCATCTGCAGGATGCTGAGATCACTGGTAAGCTCTAAACTCTGCTTCTGAGAACTGCAACATAAATACTGACAGTTATTCATGTAGAAATCAGACACAGCAGGAAATCCAATTTCTTATACATTTTACTAGGAGGGATGGAGTGGATTTCAGATGAGGAAAGAAAAGTGTAAAAAAGAATGATATTTTCAATAAGTAAAAGCATTAAAACACTAAAACAGTGAAAGTTTAAAGCTGTGTCCTATTTTCAGATAATCAAATACAAAGTTTGCAATTGTAAAAATAGAAGGTGACTAATTGTATATTTTGTCATATCACATTATATTAACTGTATCATAAAAAGATTCAGTGTAGGTCTTCTACAGGAAAAGAAAGCACATATTCCAACTATTTTCTTTAAGTACTTGACAAATAGGATGGCGGACAGAAACTTAAACCTTAGGAGCCACTTCCAACTTAGGTAAAGATAAACCTACTGAAATGAGAAGACACCAAATTGGGGGGGAAAGCACAAGACAAAGAACCAGGAGTATGGGTTCTAGACCCCAGATCTGCCACTATTTAGCTGGGGGATGTTAAGCAAGTCACTTAACTGGTGCCATTTCATTCTCTGAGTAAGCATTTCCTGAGCTCTGAGATCTGTGCCAGGCACCATTTGCACAGACACAAATAACACAAGGAGAGTCTCAGTGCCCTCCACTGTCAAACAAGAAGACAGAACTCAATTTCTGAGGCTGTTTTCCAGCTTAAATTCTATGATTGCTGTTACAACCTGATGTAAAAAAAGAAGTCCCATTTACACACTAGGAAAACAGCTTGATAAACAGGAATAGAAATTCTTTGTTCAATTCCTTCTACACCATGGACAACAAAGAACAAAAGACCTGTATATTGAAGCTGTGTTAAAGAATTTGGCTCCCATCTACAACAGAAATAGCTAAAGGAGGATAAAGTTTTCGAGACATCCTCTCAGGATGGATCATAAGACTCAGACTCAATATTGTAACTGAAGTACTATAGAGTATAAATCCCATGCTGATTAGATGCTAGGCAGATCGTAGGGTGTAAGTGTGATGTTGTCAGGGCAATAGAGCTAGGAACTATATGGCATGTAAGACACTGTAAAGGGAGACTAGCTTCTAAATACTACTTACATGCTGGGGAGGCTTAACAAATTAACTTAGAGAACTATTAAATCAGAAAAGTTTAAAAAACAGAATTAATGTCTTAAATAGTTTTTGTGAGTTTAGACAGATAACTTGACCAATGATCTAATATATTCCACGCTTCTGGGGCCTAATATTATTAAACCATATGCTTCTAACTCATGAGGAGTTTGTAGGATTGCTGAATTTCAACATTTAAACAAAATTTGAAGTAATTAAAAAAAAAATTTAACAATCTGCCAGATTCCAATTAATCATATCTCAAAAGTAAGGGATCAAGTCTGAATCTTTATTTTTTTTAATTTAAAAAATTTTTTATTTTATTTTATTATTTTTTTGCAGTACGCGGGCCTCTCACTGTTGTGGCCTCTCCCGTTGCGGAGCACAGGCTCCGGACGCGCAGGCTCAGCGGCCATGGCTCACAGGCCCAACCGCTCCGCGGCACGTGGGATCCTCCCGGACCGGGGCACGAACCCGCGTCCCCTGCATCTGCAGGCGGACCCTCAACCACTGCGCCACCAGGGAAGCCCCTGAATCTTTAAAGTATCAAAAACTCCAAAACAAGAATAATTTAAGATCATCAGTACTGGTAACCAAATATCAGTATTTCTTGCTTGAGAGAATACCAAACTAAATGGATTCACCAAGATCCAAATGTATTCCAAATATGAAGAACCTGAGTGTCTGTATCATCCTACACACACTTTATACCAAACAATTTGCCCACATGTTCTGTCACACAGATGAGCAGTTGGTACATACATATACACAAATGTGTGCGTGTGTGTCTGCGTGAGAGCATCCATTTATTTATTTGTTTGTGTTTTGGGCCTTTATTTTGTCCTTTTCATATTTTGAAATTGTTTTTACAAACTTTTACATAAAAAACAAACATTTGTTTTGTTTTTTATTATTAGTTATCTTTAAACATTCAAAAAGTAATACACATAGAAAAGACTATGGAAAGATATGACACTGGAAGAGAAAAAAAATGCTTTAAAGATACTGATATTGACCATATGATGCTGTAAGGCATTTTAGAGAATAAGTCAGCACATCTTCCTCCTTCAACTAGTTCTTGATTTTTTAAATGTAAAGCCGACATTACAGTTGCCTTTGTTTTTCTTTTTCTTTTTTTTTTTTTGTGGTACGCGGGCCTCTCACTGTTGTGGTCTCTCCCGTTGCAGAGCACAGGCTTCGGATGCGCAGGCTCAGCGGCCATGGCTCATGGGCCCAGCCACTCCGCGGCATGTGGGATCTTCCCGGACCAGGGCACGAACCCGTGTCCCCTGAATCGGCAGGCGGACTCTCAACCACTACACCACCAGGGAAGCCCTGTTTTTTTTTTTAATTGAGGTCCAGTGAGGTTAAATAACTTTTATTTTTAAGATTTTTTTTTTTGATGGGGACCATTTTTTAAAGTCTTTATTGAATTTGCTACAATATTGCTTCTGTTTTATGTTTTGGTTTTCTGGCCGAGAAGCATGTGGGATCCCTGACCAGGGATCAAACTTGCACCCCCTGCATTGGAAGGTGAAGTCTTAACCACTGGACCACCAGGGAAGTCCCGCCTTTTTTTAATAAGAGATAACAAGGAATACTATTTTCTGATATATCTAGTCCTTTCGTTATCATTTTTCCCTAAAGCTTGTTTTCTATGGGAACTGACCTTGGTCACTGAGTTTTTGCTAATCTTAATGCTCTTCAGGAGCATTAATGCTCTTGTATAAATACAAGGCTAAGAAGAGAGTAATGACTCCCATTTTTGGTGTACTTTGGGGAGGGAGATGGATTAAAGAATGGCTTCAATAATAAACACGTACTACTTTCGTATCTGAATTAGAATGTAAACATTGTTTAAATAAAAAACATGGAATGGATCAAATTTTTAAGGAAGAAATAAATTTTAAACTATGCAACAAGTGTTGATGAGAAAATAGGACTCCACTAAATTTGCTGGAATAAATCTATTACATTCATTGGTTTGCCTGTAAGGTAATGGCTGTTAGAAAGATTTAATTGGTTTTAGCAAATTTTTGATCTCATATATTATTATTTTATATAACCCTTTTTGAAATTCAAAAGCTGAATCTGTATCTTTCAACAGTATCAATTCTTTATCATAGCCATCTCCTGATCACCCTTATAAACAGAAGGGATCATTGGCAAGAAGGAAAAACAAACTTGTATTTGAAATTTATTATCATTTAGTTTAAAGGGCAAGTTCAATCATAGATCTTTTGCTGTCTGTTTGTTTAGATCCGTTTGTTTAGGTCTTTTGTCTGTCTTTTGGTGGGGAGAAGGGGCATTTAGTGAATCTATATTCCATGAGTACACCGAAAGGAAAGGACATGCAAGTGATGGCAGAAAAAAAGTGCTGAAGTACTCATTTAGCGTGGTTAACCTGCCAGATAGCCAAAAAGAGTCTGGCTGAATATTTTGCTCCAAAAAGGTATTTAAGTATCAAAATTAAACTTAAAATTTAGATGAAACTCTAAAGATAAAGAAACATTTTGAACCTAAAAAAGAGTTCTTGCATACTTGTGCAATTCTTTTTCTTGCCGCTGCAGTTCGGATGATAGCAAAACATTTTCCTTTTTTAGAGAACAGCATTCGGCTTCCAATACATTCCATTCCTTTCTCAACTTCTCTAGTTCACCTAAAATAGTCCCAAAACACATTTGTTAATACAGGAACATAACTATTTTTTCCCTTAAACACTTAGATTTTACATGGCTATTCTTTGATTCCTGTTACTTCGGCCTCAGGGAAGTTCCCATCACCCTGAACTTCAGTAATATTTTTTTCTCACTTCACTTTTATAAGACAAATATATATTTCTTACCTTGTAGCCTCGTTGCTTCTTCTCTCTGCTGGTCCTCACATTGCTGACATCGAAGCTGAAAAGTATTTTGCAAACTCATGATTTCTTTCTCATATTCAGACGCTGCTTTCCGCCATCGCTCAAGCTCGGCTCGCACTTTCTTAAGCTCTTCTTGTAGAGAAGTAATGTCAGTGTCCCGCTCAGAGGCAGCCTTTTCTGCTGCTTGATGAAGGAGTAAAATTTCATCTCGGGCACTAAGCAATTCATCTCGAGTGCCTGTGATTTCACTGTCCTTCTCCTCCCGGAGATTCTCAATATTGATGTGTAACCTCTGCAGTTGGGCTACAAAAGTACATTTACTCATCATTTTCTTAGTCCATAGTAATCAGGAATAAACAAACAGCCCATATGGGACTGTAGTTACTGCATGGCCCAGGCTGTCAGAGCTGTTTGTTGCTTTTGATTAAACTGTACAAGCAATCCATGTTTAATGCAGAAAATGTCAAAATACAGAAACACAAAGAGAAAAAACCCCAAAAGCGACCTTTATTTCTCCCACACAGAGAAAATTGTTTCTAACATTTGGTACTTCCTCTCCTAGATTTTTTCTATGCATTTATACACATATAAAAACAAAAATAGGGAGGGATCATAATAAATACAATGTTCTCTATGTGGCTGCTGATGAATATTTTTCAATAACAAAAACCAGCTATACTAACTTTTTTGACTAATCCTTTATTTTAGACACTTGAGGCTGTTCAGATTTCAATTACTATAGACAATACACCTTATAACGCAACCTTGATTTTTTTTTCCTTAGGGTGAATTTGTAGACATAGAATTGCTTGGTCAAAGGGTAAGCATTAGTAAAACCTTTGATGTTCTTGACTCAATTTTCTGTTCAAATGTCAATTCCTTAAAGAAGCTTTTTCTGATGGCTTATCTAAAAATAGCCCTCTGTCATTCTCCAGCCCTTTACTCTGCCCTCATTGGACATCACATTCTATACTTATTTGCTTATTCATCTTTTCCACTAGACTGTACGTCTCATGTGTGCTATCCCCAATACCAGAAGAGTAAACAATCAAGAATTATTGGTTGAATTAATGAATTAATAAAGTTAATGAATATTGCCTAATGAAAGAGGTATATTTTTAAAGGATCTGGTCTTGTCCTCATGACTTGAACTGGAAACAATTTGTATAAAATCACACTTGGTTCAGAACTAGAATACTGGTCTTGATTATAATAACACAAGAAAATTATAGGTATAAAAAGTTCCCTAGGTAGAAAAGAAGAATAATTAAAATAATTAAGAGGATTTAAGGCTTGTGTAGGAAGAAGTTGCCTAATAAATAAACATTAAAGAAAATATTAGACCTTTTAAGTCTGTGGGAAGCATTAAGAGGTAACAGGTTCAAAAATCTGAAAAGACACAATGGCCATGGATAACATGACCATGGACTTGTGGATAAAATCCTGAAATATACATGCTGGCACTAGAGAGCACTCAGTGATGCCCACGTAAGACAGCTTTAAGAAAAAAGGAAGCACTACATCATAGAACCTTCAGGGATAATTGCCCATACACAATACAGGATGGAAGTATAGATTCAAATCAGATTTATATAAACTAATGGATAGTGGCATTAAACTATAAGAGTGTAAAGAGCTTTCAATTTTAAAAGATATACAATCTACCCTAGAAATTCTTGTTTGACCCTAATACAATTTTTTTAAATAACTCACATGTCCCACTCAAAAATAAGAAAACCCAAAAGACTGGTTTTTCTTTGGGATATTTTAGGGCAAATATCATAGGCCTTATACAATGACTCCCCATTTCGTCTCAACAGATATTACTTGTCTATTTAACTTCTTCTTACCCTACCTCTCAAACTAAAATTTTAAAATAACATTGGTTCCTTCTTTGACAATGAAGGCAAATTAATTTTACTTTAGGAATTTTACGGTGGCACAGGAAAGACATCTCCTGGAGTATCTCACAATTGTAACCTCAAAGTACCAGGAGCTCTGGTTCGAAGAAAACCCTTGACAGGCAGGGGTCTTTCGGGTCATTTCTGTAATGACCCTGTGATAGCCCATACAAAGAGATAGCAAAATGGTGGATATGAAGAGCAGCCTTTACCAATGAAGGGAGTGCTGGGACCACTCTTCTATTCCATTTGGTAAATAATTTTTGTTGCAGGGCAAGTGTGCTATAAGCATTAGAAATAATATCACCAACAAGCTAAAAGTGCTGATGCACAGAGCTACTCAAACCGATTTCCTGTCTGAAGGCCTCCTTTGTAGTAAGTCACTACATAACCCAGAAAATGACAGTCTTACCAAATCCATATCTTCAATCTTCCTCTTCCCACTCCAAGTGGGAGGTACTACTGGAGTACTAGGGAATCTTCCCTTAAAAAAAAAGGGGGGGCCACAAAGAGCCCAGTTACAGTCTCAGATACTAGGGAAGAACCAAAGCCTTGAAAAATGGGAACCCTTTGCATTCCTACTTTCCATTTCTTTTGAATTGCTACAAACAAACAAACAGTAACAATCCCAAATAGCCTCTGGTGTTCCATACCTTGAAGAACCTGTATTTGTTTACTGGATTCCTCAACTTGATTTCGATAGGCTTTTCTTTCTTCTTCCAAAAGAGCTGAAAGTAAAGCACAGTATTTCTAATTTCGTGATTTAATGAAAATATTCAAAATTGAGCAGCTGGAAGGTTCTAAGAAATTCTCTCCTAAACCTCACTGAAGGAAACAAAAGTTAGGCAGTGTTATCAGTGTTAGCAGTTAGGTAGTTTAAAGATTTTTTAAGGAGCACAAAACAGTAGTAAGTAATAAATGTATTCAACCGAGTAGTAGTTGTCTATACCTTGTATTGCCAAGATAACATGTGCTGTTCTTTACTTGAGAAGCATTCTTTTTTTTTTTTTTTTTTTTTTGCGGTACGTGGGCCTCTCACTGTTGTGGACTCTCCCGTTGCGGAGCACAGGCTCCGGACGCGCAGGCTCAGCGGCCGTGGCTCACGGGCATAGCCACTCCCAGGCATGTGGGATCTTCCCGGACCGGGGCACGAACCCGTGTCCCCTGAATCGGCAGGCGGACTCTCAACCACTGCGCCACCAGGGAAGCCCCGAGAAGCATTCTTAATAGTTATTAATCAGGATTTTGAGCTTAAATGTGAAAAACAGACTTAAAATCCTCATGTTCACTGCCAAGCACATAGTAAGTACTTACTGACAGGAAGTTCATAGTTCCCCGTGGGATGCAAATCTTCCTCCTGGTCAGGAAGGCCATTTTAGAGAACATGAGGATTCTAAGACTTTGTAAGGTACTAACTGACTGCAACTAGGTAACTGCTGTGAACGCTATAGAAATGTAAGCTCTAGGGAATAGCACAGACTCCAACTGGCCTATAACTCTTATTGGTTGGGACATTAGAAAATTCTATACCTTAACCTTGCCTGGTTCCTCTCACTTACTGAAGAATACACTGTAAAACTGCAGGGAATATAAATTTCCCTTATCTTATACTGAGTAGCTAATATTAGGTATAACTAAAACGTAGAAATTTATATTTCTATGTTTTTTCCTTTTGCTGTACTTAATGTGTAATTAACTTTTAAGATCTTTCATTGGTACAGGCCTTTCTTAATCTTCACAAGAAAGTAGTACAACTGTAATTCTCCTCACTTTACTGATCTGAAACATAAGTTCAGAGAGCATAAGTGATGTCCCAAGATCACATATCTAATAAAGTTGTAGATTTGGAAGAAGGTAACCATGCCTCTGGACTTGGAAGTTTGGGGCCATTCAGTTATATCTTGTTGCTTTCACATCCCCTAAAGAATCAAAGTAATCTTGATCTCACCTTGAAGTTCAAAGCATTTTTGTTTACTTGCTCTAGCTAGTTCCTGGGCTTCAATCAATTCCTTCCGAAGATGCTGAATTTCTTGTTTTGCCTCAGTTTCTGACTGCGCACCCTGCAAGTCATCTGACAAAAATATGTTTATTTTAAAAGCAAGAGTTAGTATCATACCATAATCTCTACAACCAAAGATTAGCAATCTTTCTCATGTTTGGACATGCATAGTTAACAACAAAGCACAACTAAGTTTAATAAAATTTAGAAGCAAATTGTATTAAGCATTTTAGTCATTTTACCTTGGAGAAAGAACACAAATATGATTAAATTATTTTAGTAATTCATGGCAATGGTACTATAACATACATACTAATATATACTAAATTATATATTTCACTTATATAAGGCTTATGTAGAGCTTATGCAAGGTTTGAAATTTAGTAGTATGATCATAATGCTATTCTGCTTTATCAATTTAGAAATTTCTTCATAACAGGTGAGAAAATTTTCACTTGGAACTTAACTGGAAATGGAAAAATAGAAAGAAACTTTTCTTCAAGAAAAAATATTTTAGTATGATTTCCCCAGCTGTGGAATAGAAAATAAAAACTAAGCTGAAAGCTCCACTGTGCTCCCTTCATCATCACTGTTTCCTCAACACTACATACATAACAAGTAAATATTTGCTTAATTATCATTATTATTTACAATTTATTTATTTATTTCTGGCTGTGTTGGGTCTTTGTTGCTGTGCATGGGCTTTTCTCTAGTTGTGGTGAGTGGGGGCTAATCTTTGTTGTGGTGCACGGGCTTCTCGTTGCGGTGGCTTCTCTTATGAAGCATGGGCTCTAGGTGAGCGGGCTCTAGAGTACAGGCTCAGTAGTTGTGGTTCACGGGCTCTAGAGTGCAGCCTCAGTAGTTGTGGTACACGGGCTTAGTTAAGTTCCGCGGCATGTGGGATTTTCCCAGACCAGGGCTCAAACCCGTGTCCCCTGCACTGGCAGGCAGATTCTCAACCACTGTGCCACCAGGGAAGCCCTGCTTAATTATTATTATTATTTTAGAAATTTATTTTATTTCAGTTATTTTATTTGTGGCTGCATTGGGTCTTCGTTGCTGCACACAGGCTTTTGTCTAGTTTTGGCAAGGGGGGGCTACTCTTCGTTGCCATGCGCAGGCTTCTCATTGCAGTGGCTTCTCTTCTTGCGGAGCATGGGCTTTAGGTGTGCGGGCTTCAGTAGTTGTGGTACACGGGCTCAGTACTTATGGCTTGTGGGCTCTAGAGTGCAGGCTCAGTAGTTGTGGCGCACGGGCTTAGTTGCTCCATGGCATGTGGGATCTTCCCGGACCAGGGCTCGAACCCGTGTCGCCTGAATTGGCAGGCGGATTCTTAACCTCTGCGCCACCAGGGAAGCCCAGCCCTGCTTAATTAGTAAATGATGTAACCTAAGAGATTTTATCAAAATAAATTAGAGCCAGCATTACATCTCAAATAAGCTCCCTCCCTTAATTCTTTTCTCTCTAGCCACTCTGCTCATCATCTTTCATTGTATTAGAACTGTCTACTACTGAACACTGCCTGAAATAAATGTATCACCAGGTAGGCCATATCCTTCTAGTACATTCCATTTGACTACTACTTTGGTTTACAAACAACTCAGGCATAACAACTTCAATCTATCAAAAAAGAATTAAGAATAAAATTTCAGAGTGTAATCACTGCAGGTCTTAGATATTACAAACACATGTTTTCGTCCTCATATCTTACTTCTCCCTGTCAAAAATCTGACTCTAGGTTCATTTATTTTAGCCAGTCTATCAACTCTTCCTTCAAACAGTCATGGTAAGGGTGGAGGCAAAGAGAGAGAGAGATTGAGAGAGATTTTCCAGTGGCAGGTGCATTGTCACAGCAACTACAAAACTTCTCTATCAATATCACGCATTGGGGGCTACAAAGGTTCTAGCTGCCCATCTCTGGAATTGTCATTATGTAGGACAACCGTCCTTATTCTTAGGAGTATTAAAGCAGGAAGTATCATGATGCCTTTATCTTTTTTTTAAAAAAAAAGTTGATTTACAATGTTGTGTTAATTTTTGCTGTACAGCAAAGTGACTCAGTTATACATATATTCTTTTTCTTATTCTTTTCCATTATGGTTTATCACAGGATACTGATTATAGTTCCATGTGCTATACAGCAGGACCTTGTTGTTTATCCATCCTATACATAATAGCTTGCATCTGCTAATCCCAAACTCCCAGTCCTTCCCTCCTCAACCCCACCTCATCCATGGCAACCACAAGTCTGTTCTCCATGTCTGTAAGTCTGTTTCTGTTTCGTAGATATGTTCATTTGTGTCATATTTTACATTCCCACATACAAGTGATATCATATGGTATTTGTCTTTCTCTTTCTGACTTACTTTGCTTAGTATGATAATCTCTAGGTCCATCTATATTGTTGCAAATGGCATTATTTCATTCTTTTTTTTATGGCTGAGTAATATTCCATTGTATATATATACCACATCTTCTTTACCCATTCATCTGTTGATGGACATTTAGGTTGCTTCCACGTCTTGGCTATTGTAAACAGTGCTGCTATGAACGTTGGGGTGTATGTCTCTTTTCGAACTGGGTATATGCCCAGGAGTGGGACTGCTGGATCATATGGCAAATCTATTTTTAGTTTTTTGAGGAACCTCCATACTGTTTTTCATTGTGGCTGCACCGATTTACATTCCCACCAACAGTGTAAGAGGGTTCTCTTTTCTCCACACCCTCTCCAGTATTTATTATTTGTAGACTTTTTAATGATGGCCATTCTGATGGGTGTGAGGTATAGTTTTGATTTGTATTTCTCTAATAATTAGTGATGATGAGCATCTTTTCATGTGTATGCTTTCTTTGGAGAAATGTCTATTTAAGTCTTCTGCCCATTTTTTGATTGGGTTGTTTGTTTTTCTGTTATTGAATTGTATGAGCTGTTTGTATATTTTGGAAATTAAGCCCTTGTTGGTTGCATCATTTGCAAAGTATATGTAAATATCATTTGGAAGTATCATGATGCCTTTATCTTACTTTCAAGTGGTTTGGCAAAAAATATCTACATAATATCCTTCAGTAGATATTTTCCTACTTGTATGTTAGGGTTTTTTCCTAAGCGCTTTTGACAATTTGGGCTAAATAATTCTTTGTTTGGGGGCTGACCTGTGGATTGCAGGGTGTTTAGTAGTTTCATTGGTTTTAACCCACTAGATGCTAATAGCACTGCCTCTCAGTTGTAACAACAAAAATGTTTCCATATATTGCCCAATGTCCCTGGGGGTATAAAACTGCCCAACCTTGAGAACTACCGTTCCATGTTAATAACCTTATAACCAAGAGAAAACAAATCTACACATAGGCTTCTTTCCCACAGAAGCACTGGTTAGTAATTCTGAAACTATTTTCTGTATATTCTAAAAATGTTTTAAAAAATTCATAAATTGTAGATAATGGCATCCAGGTTTCTCACTATCGGGAAAGACAATGACAGATATGGAAATATGAAAGACAATTAATTCTGTGGTGTAAGGTATGAATTAGAAGATCTGAATGTATAAAATAGACTCTAATAGATCTGAATGTATAAAAATAAATAGATACAGAAATAAATATAGACATGTGAGGCACTAAATATAGCCATACATGTATGTATGGATATGAATATACATACATCTATTTCTTAACTCTGTCCACTCAAGTGGGCCTAGAAGTAATGAACACACCATATACTCAGATCTTGGTTTGTAAATACCATTCTCTAGTTTAAAAAACTAGGGCTCTGTGGAGAAATGGCTGATTTCAGGACTAAATCTAAGTAGAAGATGAATGTAGAACATCTTTTTTGTGTCAGAAAGTAAGAAAGGACTCAAAGAATGATTGGGTCCAAAAAGACATCAGGGGCTCCCACTGGCCAAACACGAGACAATTTGAATATCAAAATAAATAATGATAGTGACAGATGATAATCCACTGAATAAAACATGAATCCATGAATTCACACTGATATAGAAAAAGAAAGGAAGGAAGGAAAGAAGAAAGGGAAGGGAAGAGAAAACTCTTCCATGTTGTAGAAAGCTTGCTAATAAATGTAGAAGGATGACAGAATTATGAAATCACTACTTGGCAACTATGATTATAACAAATGATTCAGGCAATCATCATAAGGAGACATTAAAGCTAAGAAGATAAATGTTTGAAGAGTAACAGGATATTTAAAGTTAACATCATCAGTGATAGAACAATTCAACATCAGGTGCCTCCTGATATGATGCCCAAAATGATTTCTGTTATATTACTGCCAAAGATGCACAACTTTAATCTAATAATGAGGAAACATTAGATACAACCAAACTGAGGGACATTTTAGAAAATGACCATGGTTCTTCAAAAATGTCAATGTCATGGAACACAAAGAAAAACTGAGGAACTGTTCCAGATTAAAAGAGACTAAAGAGACATGACAGATGAATGTAATGCATGACTCAGGATTTTCTGAGGACATTATTGAGACAACTGGCAACACGTGAATAAGGTCTGTGTATTTGATAATAGTAATATATCAGCTTGTAGTTAATTTCCTGATTTTGAGAACTATACGGTTGTTATGGAAGAGCAACAGAAAACACACATGAAAATATTTAGGAACAAGGTTATCACGCCTACAATTTACTCTCAATGGTTCAGGGAGAGAGAGGGAGGAGGAAGGAAAAGGGAAAGGGAGATGGATAAATCAAATTTGGTAAAATGTTAACAGCAAATAGGGTGAAATGTTAACAGTTGGAAAATCTGGATGAAGAGTATATGAGGTTTTTTGTTCTATTCTTGCAACTTTTCTGTAAGTCTGAAATTATATCAAAATAAAAAGTCAAAAGAATAATTTCTACATATATACATAAACAAATAAAGAAAATATGGCAAAATACTAACAATTGCTGAATCTAGGTGATGGGCACATATGGAAGTTTTTGGCATTCTTTAATTTTTCTTGTGTTTGAAAGTTTTCGTAGGTCTCTTGAAATTACCAATCCTAATGCTACAATCTTGCAGCAATCATTTCTCCCTATATTCTTATCCTTAACCTA